TATAAATATATATATGCATACATATATGTGTGTGTGTGTGTGTGTGTGTGTGTGTTCTAAAGTCTGAGGATAAAGGCACAAACTTCATTGACTGTATCATCAAAAACTCAAAAGTGAAGGAGGGAAAGGTAGGCGTATTAAACAACCAAAATTCTGTCTAAGCTCTGTAGTGTATATAGTATGATGGAAACAATGGAGATGTTGCTTAAATTATCGGAGGGATCAGAAAAGTTTTCTCAAAGGGGGTGAAATATGACACAGGCCTTAAAAAATTAAAGGAGTTAAGGAATAAGAGGCAGACATTCCTGAGATAAAAAATAGGAGCTAAGTTAATAAAGGCCCAGAAATGAGTAAAAGCCTGAGAAGGGAACCGAGGCTAAAGGGCCAATGGAGTAGAGAAGGAAATGGAGATGTAATTGTAAAGGATACACAGATATCATTCAAAGACTTTGACTTTTTAGCATGGGCAACAGGAGCTACTGATGGCTTTAACAGTGGGAGAGGTGTCGGGAGAGAATCAGTGTCTTTGTGAATGCAGTAGAAGCTGTGGAATGAAGCCTGAAATTGTCCCTTTAGGAGCTGTTCAAATAATGCTAGCAAGAGATATTATGAGACTAACTCAGCCCAGGGCTAGGGGAGTGGAGAACAGGAGAGATGAGGGAAGTAATTATAGGGAGGAGAGCGGAGGACATCCTTATTGAAATTCCACCCTGCTCCCAACCACAACATAAGTAGTTTATGCACCTTTTATATTATTTTATTTTATTTACCTTTAACAAAACTCCTTTGAGTTAAATGTAACCCCCTTTGAAAAGGAATGTCTATGAGGCTAGCTCATTCAAGAGCACACAGGCATTAAATGGCCCAGCCTGGGATTGAACCAAGGTCTGCTTAAAGCCAAAGCCCAGGAATCAAAAGAACTTGATTGCATAGTGGTGCATGCCCATAATCTCAGCTACTTGGGAAACTGAGGCAAGAGGCTCATGGACTTAAGTTCTGCCTGGAAAACTTACTGAGATTCAGACTCAAAATAAAAAATGGCTGAGGATATAGCTAGTGGTAGACTACTTGTCTCGTATGTGCAAGAATCTGAGGCCAAACTCCAGCACTCTAAAGATATAGAGACAGACGCAGATAGATATAGATAAACAAATCAGGACTTGGTGAATGATTAAATATTTCTTCCAATTTAGATTCCATCCCTACTCACTTTGCTAAACTATGTGGAAAGCTGGGTATTACCCCAGGCTCTAGCAGCCCTGGGAAAAAGTCCTTTGCAGGTTGTGGTGTCCTGGGGAAAAGTGTCTCTTAAAAAGTTAGAGTCCACGTCTACATTTACAAATGTGAATCTGTATTCATTTTTCATTGCATCTTTCCTTTTTAAAAATTTCCATTGAGTTTATTGGTACATTTTAGGTATATGCTATGATCACATTTATCATTGGGGATTTTTACATTTACATGATATATCCTGGTTCTTTTTTTCCCTATTCCCCTTCCCCCTTCTACCCCTCCACCCTTCCCTATTTATTTAAAAAAAAAATGTGTTTCTGTTTTTTTCCTTCTTTTCCCTTCTTTCCTTTTCCTAATCCCCTCTACTTCCCCTTCCCCTTTGGACCTTTTCTTCTCATTTCACATTATCTGTTATACATTTTGGCCCTCATTTATACTTTCAGTTTCTAATACCAGAGAAACTATTCAGTGTTTACACACGTGTGTCCTATTTATTTCACTTAAGAGTATGGCCTCAATGTGCATCCATTTAGCTATAAATGTCTGCAGTTTAATCATTCTTTATGGCTGAGTAACACTCCATTTTATTTAAAAAAAAAACAAACAAACACATCTTCTTAATCCAGTCACCAGTTGATGGGCACTTGGGCTTTTTCCAATATTTAGCTATTACAAACTGTGCCACTATAAACATGGTTGCACATATATGCCTTAATATGATGCTTTTAATTCTTTTGGGAAGATATTCAGAAGGGGAATAGCTAGGTTAAATGGGACCTCTAATCCCAGTTTTTTGAGGAATCTCCATACTTATTTCCACAGTAGTTGCACCAGTCTACACTCCCACCAAGAGTGAAGAGTTCATTTCCCCCACAGCCCCAGCAGCATTTGTTATTGATTTCTTGATAGCAGTCATTTTATCTGGGGTGAGGTGGAATCTCAGCAGCATTGTTTTCATTTACATCTCTCAAATGACCAGTGACGTTGAACATTTTTCATATGTTTATTTGCTGTTCCTACTTCTTCATCTGAGAAATGTCTGTTCATTTCAGAAGCCCATTTTTGGATTGGGTCTTTAAATTTGGGAGGTATTATTATTTTTTAAGTCTTTATATATTCTAGATAGTAGACCTTTGTCTGAGAAACAGCTGCTAAAGATTTTTTTGCCATGTTGTGTGTTGTCTCTTCACTCTGTTAGTGGTTTCTCTTGCTGTGCAGAAGCTTTTTAATAAGGTGAGGTCCCAGTTGTTGATTCTTTGTGCTAGTTCACATGTGACTGAAG